ACTGTAAGAATTCTGAGCAGTATTATACCGGCTTTATTAGGTATAAACACAGCCATGGTCGTGTCAGGGAGTACCACACACACACGACTACACAGAAATAAACTAAATAGAGCTTAGCGAAATCGGATAAACATTTTATAATAATAAATACGTATATTTATGTAAGTACATTGATGTAATTGGTCCAAGAGTCGAAAAATCAAGTATTAGGTACTAGACTACTAACATTTTAACAATTTCTAGCCATGAGTAAATGTGCTGTTTTAAATCCACTCATTCTCCATCAAAACTTGTAACTTCAGGATTTTCTACAAATGGCGTCAAAAATGTTGGAGTACACTATTGTTCCTAAAATGGTATATAAACAATACAAGACTAAGAAAGAAAAGGAATTTCAATTGAAAGGAAACGCACATTAATTAAACACATTTTTCGTGGCTCTTGCTCATCACGTGTGAGTTTCAAAGAAGCACTATTTAAAAATCTATCTAGGTATAAATGGTTAAAATCTAGTCCATTGAATACCGTACCTGTCTGTTGGCATCCCAGATAAGTATGCAAATAAGTATTTGAACGTGTTTGGTAGCGCAGATACGCAAATGGTTTTTTTGTTAACTCGTTTAACCACCTTGTAAATAATCTGTTATGGTATTAAATACATATTCAAAATAAATATTTCTTTTTAAAATATTTTGTTGAATAATTTAAATTAATGAGATGACGTGACTTTTTAATTTACGTAGTAATAAGGCCAACTATTATCCACTGTAACTAAAGGTTGTTACATAATTTGAACACCGTTATTTTTTCATTTGAATCATAGACTTGTCTGAAAATGTGTGAAATGATTTTTCATTTATTAAAACAAATTCCCTTTGTTAAGACTTGAACTGCTTGAAGCCGCGATCCATCGCTTGGCATGTGACTCTACTTTCATTGGGTTAGTCTAACGACGCATTATTGTTGTTGAAATGACAATTCATTAGGAATAGAGAAAACACATATTTCATAGTTAGAGGTTTTCCGATTTCCACGTAGAACCTGTGTTTCATAGATATCTAAGTATGTATATTAATTTGGTGCTCTTCGTGTACCTAACAAAAAGTAAGGTAATTAAAGTATTACTCTGATATGCCATTGTTTACAGAATTAACCAAATTTTTCAGTTATTTAAAATAAACAAAACTGAAAGAGCCCTTAAGTTACTTCTTTAATATCGCGAAAATAAAGTTCTTATCTACCTAAAATGTGATATTTACCTCGTGGGTCCAATCCATCGTACTATAAATAAACGACCAAAGGTTATGCAGGTATAGTGAGGTGATAAACAAAGGTTATACAGACTTGTTATACCTTCATAATCCATAATACCTACACTCGGAAAACTAATACAAATACATAGGTATTTTCTTTTAGCTCTATCTCTAGAATAGGTACACTTGAAGTATAATGAAGAATAATCTCAGAAAACGTTTTGACATTGACCCGTGCTGAGGAAAGCCGGAAAACGCAACGCTTTGTTGTTGGAACAGACTTAATAACACTTAAATAACTTTATTTAATTTATTTAAGCACTTGAAATACGTACTATTGGATTGGACAAGTAATGGTTTTGTTGGTTTTTGTCTTCTTAATGGATTTTGTTGATTTTGCTTGTATTTTGTCGAAACTGCAAAGGAACGGAGAGAGGCAGTTCGGGGTGATATTGAGAATAACCTGCCATTTTTTATTTAATAAAATCCAGAATAGGATTTGAAGGCCAAACGGAAATTAAAAGTTTTATGTATGATGATTAATTATTATTATGGCCATTGGCCAGTGTATGTAGTCGTACTAAAGTTTAGTTGGTTAGTATTTATATCACAGATTTAGGCTGGGTTGCACCATCTTACTTTAGCTTTAACAAACGTCAAAAATCTGTCAAACTCCAAAAAAAAAAAAACACCCGTTATCGTTATAGTTACGGTTAAAGTTAGGTGGTGCAACTCATCCTTAGACTATTTACCCGACTGCGCAAGAACGAGGTTTATGTTTTTTACTAGTTATAAATAGTAGAGTTTACAAAATAATGAACGTTTTATTTATAGCAAACGAATGAAATGTCACGGAATTTTACCCGCGTATAGAAGTAAAGAATGGAGTTAGTAAAGGAAGACAACGTGCACGTAATATTACGTTAAAACAATTAGGTGCGGTCGGACGCCCAACATAATTCTGATGTCCACATTAGCCATGTCATCGTTGCTACTACCACAGATGACATTCTTGAACTGAAACAAGAAAAGGTAGGAGGTGCTTAAGTTGTTAGGTTTACACATTTTTAGGCTACAAATACTATATTTCCAGCAACTACCACACCATTAACTAAGGTCTGAAAATGTATGTGTGAACTTTGTGTACTACCTTAGAACAAACACATAAACGATGCTTGCATAAAGTGAAGCAGCAAATCGAACGCACAGCGTTGAATAGAGCTCTGTGATTGGTTCATGTGTCACTCTGTGCGTCCACGTGCACTGTGAGACCTCATAGTAATGTTTGTGAATACAGGCGTATGAATTGGTCCAATTAAAGGCAACGATTTTAAGCAAAAATTAAGTAAAATGTATTTATTTCTATAGTAACATATTGTTGTAATGTTTTTTGAATCTAGAACTAGGTATAATAAACAAAGTTGTATTTGTACGAGAGCTTTCTGAAAACCTGGGATATCGTTGTAACAATAAATACAATAGAGCAGGACATAATCATAAGGGATATTGAACTTGCCAGAATATTATTAAAATTGCATTTGCGAAAGGAAAATAGTTTTTTGTCTACGAAAAAGCATCAAATCTAATGGAGGCTCGATGAAAAAAGGTTCAGAAATCCTGATGCAGATCAGTTACATATGAGTTACGACCTGTGGTTACGTCCATTTAGGCAGTAAAACAGATCGTCGTGCTCGAGTTAGGTGTACGGCGATAAGAAGGCGACAATTTAACTTAAATGCAGTCTTATTACAGGCCGTATCATAATAAAGGTATACTTATTTTAGATTGTGTTCTTTTTTGGGTAGTTTTTACAGCAGAAACGAGAAAAAAATGTGAGAATAGAGAGAATTGATTGAGAGATGTGATGCTTCACGAAAAATTGGACGGATTATCTTGAAACTTTACAATGTTATAACATATACTTACATCTACATGCAGTAAATATTGTAAAAATGACATACTTAATGCGAGTAATTCTGAAACACCTCAGTTAAAAGAAGTAATACTATTTGCAGGTGTACAAATACGCCCACAATAGTGACCTAATAAAATTTTTGCTATTCAAGGATTTGCCACACTGGTTGCGTTCTGCGGTCTGCGATAAAGTCAAAGCGAAAGCATACCGCATCCTGTATGAACAATATTGTCGGTCAGGGCAAATACTTACCCGTAATTGGTGTAAAGCTTTATATTCAGATAGTTAATAAGTCAATTAACACTGTTTGTTTTCTGATTAAAGTAAAATAAAATAAAATAAAAAGTAATTTGCCTAAATGAGAGCGCGGATTTAACCGTTTAATAACATGGTATTACACAGGCCTTTACAATATTCAATGGTGATGAACATTTTTTGACACAACTCGATAAACTTTTGGAGACTGAAAAATTATACTTTTAATCACTCTACCACCCTTACATTATAAATCTTAATTATTATGAATCAAATTACTAGTAACCCTGTATAACTTTAAGATAAAGATTTACAATTAAGACATAAAAACTTACCTTCATTTTTAAAAATTATTGATCTTTTTACTTGTTTATATATAATCTCTGATTTAGAAATTATGCCAAAAATGACAATGACACTTTGGATGGCAACAAAACTAAAATTTACTTCGTTTTGAATACTATTAATCAATATTGAATTATGGATTAGCTGCTTTCATTTAAATTGATTTTACATAATAAAAGTTTGTAGCAAAATGAAATACGACCAAGAACGGCACGTGCGACAAACATTTGGTTAGTTGTAGTTTTCAGTATTTACATTCGGATACATTTCGGATATTATACATTTAGGTGTATGAGTATTTCATATTCCACGTCTCTACGTACACTTTCAAGAGCTTTAACTACTTTATCCTTCAATATCTCTAAAGCCATATGTTTCCCACTTCCCAGTAAGTATTCCCAAGAAAAAAAATTCATGAAGATGTGAAAATTATTTGCTCGCTTTGTGATAGGTTCTTTTTACACACCCGTTAGGTCTGAGTCATAGTTATGTGATATATTCCAAAAGAGGATAAAAGTAATCGCATCTGAATATACTTGTGGATCTTGTTGACCATGTGTTTGTTTCATCCGAAGATCGTAAAATTGGAGAAAATATTGTCATTGATATGAATACGTGTTACTTACGTAATGTAGAGACCAGCCATCCCTTGAATACAATTGGAAATCAATATTATTAAACTTTTTCTTTAGATCTTGTAGTGGCAATATCAGCCTGTCAGACAGTTCCTTGTCCTATGCTAAGTGTGACCTTTGGTTAGCTCTATTCAAAATTTAATTGTTTAGCGATATGAAAGGATTAATATCTTCCATCATCTTTTCATAGCAATCTTTTCGGCACAGGTACAAACCGAAACATGAAACTAATTACTATGTTTTTAGTATTTTTTCTCATAAGAGCGATTTTACAGAATTTATCCATTATTTCAACTGTCGACAGTCATCCATTTAAATCTTTTGTTGGCTAATTGTTGTATGCAAAAAGTTTAATGTTATTGCACTGCGTAAAGAAAGACCCGAGTCAGGCATATTACACACAACTTTAAGTATAGAATTGACAGTTATTACGACTGTTTAAGAACCGCTTGATAGTATAAATAGCATTTATTTCACGTACAGAATTCCTATTCATATTTACGATAAATGTGTGTGATATTTTGAGTTATCTAAGGTAGGCGTTGATAAAAAGGAGTTGAGGAGGCCAAGGTGTATTAAAAACGTCAAATCTTCCAGATGTGGTGCCCGTGAGGTTTAACCTCTGGATAATGCTGTTCACCAGCTGCTGGGTGGCGTACATGCTGCGAGTCAACATGAGCCTCAACCTGATCGCAATGGTGCCGCAGGAAAAGGGAAATGCATCGTAAGATATTTTTATTTTGACGCTATGAACGCCGACGACCTTATGCTAGAAGGAAGGCGCTGGATCCTGGCCGCCACCAACCGGCCATTGTGGAAATCATTAGTGAGGCATATGTTCAGCAGTGGACGTCATATCGCTGAAATAATGATGATGTTGATGAACACTATGAAGGCTGAACTTCGTCGACGACGCCTAATTTCACTTTCACTGAGTTAGGGTTAGGTACGTCTGAAACCAAAAAAATATGTTCAACCTACTTAGTGCTTTTCACATTCACTGGTCATTTGACAAAAGTTTCCATCAGGAAATAAAACCAGGAATTTAATTAAATCAGTAGTCTAAAATACTGTGAATAATAAATAACCTGTTAAATTATGCATAGTGATGTTGCAAATACACATGCAGTTCCTTCCATTTAAGATTAAATTGGTCATGCAAATGGCTAAGTTATTAAATGCGTTCGTTTTGTTAGATCGCGATCGCAATGCGGCGCTAAAGATGATGCTGTGACAAATGAAACTCTTCACCATGTTGACATCACTGACGTCAGAGAAGCACCCAGGCCGGTAATTAATTGTTTAATTACTTGTAGCAGTTTAACTTTGACATACTTAATTTGTTCATTGGTAATAATTATTATGTTATTACGGATCCTTTTGATAAAATTCCATAAGATTTAAATAATTTGCAACTTGTTTTTATTCTGATTCCATAATAGGTTAGTTACCTATATTTTATTGCGTCATAATCAATAAAGCGTTCAACTTGGTTAAGATGCACATACCATGAAAAAACAATAACAATGTCAAGAATATTCTATTGACGCAAACAATTTTCTAAATTGTTATCAATTCCATTCACTTACGTAGTTCATAATAAGCTTACATACGCATTGAATATTATGAATAAGTTTTTTATACACCATTGTCAGTGGCCATTTGTTATAAAAACTTGAGGCTAATAGAAAAGAAAAAGACCAATAAGTAAGTTCTCAGAGTTAAAATGGGAATTCCTATGACCGTATGTTTTTATTGAAACATTAGTTTTTATTGCATGGTTTTTGCTATAGGTACCGGGCGGGGAGCAGTTTGATTGGTCAGCCGAGCAGCAAGCTCTCATTCTCGGAGCTTACTTTTGGTGTTATCCTGTGACGTCACTGGTGGGCGGCATGGCAGCCGAGCGCTGGGGGCCACGATACGTGGTGCTCTTCAGCACCCTTGCCAGTGCAGTAATGACGTTTTTATCGCCAGTAGCAGCGAGATTGAATCATGTAGCCTTGATTGTGATAAGATTCTTGCTTGGATGTGCTGGGGTAAGTGGTCAATTATGGTTGTTCAACGACATACGAGGGCAATTTTCACATAACAATGAGCTATATGGTTAAAGTTAAAAGTATTGTTGAAATATATATTTTAAGCTGCTATACACGGAAAATATAGCGATAATACTCGACGTGGTGGTCATTATTATGTTTGTTTTGGATTTTAAGCTAATATTGACTATACATGAAAATATCTCTGAATTTGAATGTCATAACCACAATTTAACTTCGAATATCTTCATATTGATGATTTTTTTCAGGGTTTTATATACCCATCGCTACACGTGCTGGTGGCACGATGGGCTCCACCTGCTGAGAAAGGAAAATTCGTAAGCGCTATGATGGGAGGAACATTAGGTACTGTGGTTACCTGGTCGCTCACGGGTCCTCTCATGGAGAAGTTCGGGTGGGCGTCAGCTTTTTATGTGCCTGGTGCCCTCACCTTGCTCTGGTGTGTCTTTTGGTGGTACTTAGTCGCTGACACACCTTCAGATCACCCCCGGATTACAGACGCTGAAAGGAAATATATTTTAGAGGCACTCGGAGACAAGGTCAAGAAATCAAAGGTAAAGATAATATTTGCAAAACAATTATCTAAAAGGCAAAATAGTCACAGTTTGCTACTATTTTAAATTACGTCGAATCCGTATATAAGTACTAACCTTGGGTCTTTTTGTTCCATGACTTTTGGAACTCCCCAGCCTGTCTATGTAAATTTAATTAATCGAATTAAACACAAACGAACTAGTGACAATGGAATACCTACATGACATGAAATCTCTAGAGATACTAAAATGACAGACGATGCTCCCTGCTATTAGTCCCTTGGGACTAAGGAAAACATAGTTGGCAACAAACTAATCAATATACCTTTTTTTTTCAGGGGTTGCCTCCATTCAAAAGTATAATTACATCATTTCCTTTCCTGGCCATGGTGGTCCTTCATTATGGTAACCTGTGGGGACTATACTTTATTATGACAGTCGGACCAAAGTTCGTTTCAAGTGTACTGGGTTTTGAACTGTCCGCTGCTGGAGTAGTATCCGCGTTGCCATATCTTGCAAGAATGTTCTTGGCAACCATATTTGGCGCGATAGGAGATTGTATATTGGCAAGGAATATGATGACGACAAATACAATAAGAAAATTCTTTTGCCTCTTCTCCCATATACTCCCGGGAGTTCTGTTGGTTCTGCTGGTGTATGCCGGATGTTCAACGGTACTATCCGTGGCGCTGATCACAATGTCAATGGGATGCAACGGAGCTGCGACGCTCACAAACTTACAAAACCATCAGGATCTTGCTCCTAACTATGCCGGTACCCTGTACGGGGTAGCCAATTTTGTTGGAAGTACCGCTGGTTTCTTCACGCCAATGATTACAGCTTATTTCACCAGAAATGGGGTATGTGATCACATGATTTTATTTTTAGTTATTTATTAATTTAATATAGTAGACCTAAAACACGTCCTTTAGCCAAAGACTCAGAGTAGCTTTTAATTTGTCAGATGTCCCCGGATTTAAACGAATTTTTGAAAACAAAATGATCCCAAATGGTTTAGCCACGTTTAGCTGTTGTCGAGCTTTGCATACATTTACCGGTTGTTTTTTACTGGTTAGACCGGTTAGAGCTTCTACAGGCAATTTTGTTTTTTGTTTGTTATTTACAATATTTAATTTGTATAGGTATTGACGTTAATATCTATATTTTGAACTTACAGAACAGTTTCGAGCATTGGCGTCCTGTTTTCTTTGTTGGAGCCTCAGTATACGTAGTGTCTGCAATTTTCTTTATACTGTTTGGCACGGGCAATATACAGCCATGGAACTTCGGCAGGGAAGATACTACTGAAGGGAAAGAAGACAAAGAGAAGAATGGTGATCTCAAAGATATGAATGGAACTGCTCCAAAGAAATTAGATGGAAAAGACGTAAAAGAAACTTCATTAAACGTTGTAGGCTAATCATTTCAATCCGTAGACAGGTTATTATCACTTTTAGAAGAACAGTGAATTAATGAATTTGTAACGGATGTGTAAAACTTGTAATTTATGCAGTTTCTTAGTTTTAATTGACTATGAATTTATTCTAAACTATGACTGGACTCAAAAGTAGCGAACGTGAACGACGTGTGGCTGATTTTAATTGTGTGATATGTGTAGTTATAGTTATATTATTACGACTGCTTGATTCAACACTAGTCGCTAAACACCTCGTACCAGAAGTTCTATGATTTTTACAGATGATTATACTTGATTTTGTGGGCATTTTTCAAAAGTATTTTTGCAGACAGCTTTCAAAATTGATCAGGAAATGTTAATCACAGGATTTTAGTTTACTCAATCTAGTTTATCTAGCCGCAGACGATGTTTAGGTGTTATCACGGCTTTTATCAATTTAGGTGACTTTTTATACGATTGCGAATAATTGACAGGTGTTAATCAAGGGTTTAGGGGGCCATGGTATGGTATTAGGCCTCGGCCTTCAACTTTGGCCCTGTAATTCAGTGATAATAAATGGTAGGTACCTTATTCAAAATTATTGATCTTCTCACTACAATAGTTTTCATGATATACCTACTCCGGCTGTTCGTTCAAAGTATCATGAAGTAAAAGACTGTTTTAAAGTTGACTTTATTAAAGTTGTTTTACTATTTGTATAACGATGATAATAAGCTATTACAGAAAAAAATAGTGACATGCATTTAATATTGTAGCATTGTTTAGTTAACTTTTAGTTTTGTTGGATGACAGGAGGTGTCGTCGGTCGTAACATGACGTGCCACAATGGGGTGTCTAAAAAATCATGGCATTCATGTGCCCTAAGGAATAGTTCGACGAAAATTTGCAGGATTAATTCAGACTACTTTGCAGAGTTGAAAATTAATAATTCTTATTCTTTTCTGTATGTCTTTATGTGTTTTTTTCGCATTTTCTTTATCTACTTACGATAAATGAAATCGTTTTTGAGGCGCTAGTAAAAAATAAAATGAAGCATCTTCATTCTCAATTTCTGATAAAAAAAAATCAGTAAATGGTACCTATATCTATGCTATCTGATTATCTGAACCACCATTCAAGTTTCTGTCAATCTGTTTCTTACACCCTGTATACTATAAAAGTAAATTAGCTATTACATGGCCTATGTTATTGGAAAAATAATTACAATGAATGACATAAAAGTGGTTATGTAACTAATTGAATTTGACGGAACCCTTGAGCTTGTCTGAGATATTAATAGTATTAATTTCTGTTCCTACCGTTTAATATTTTCTTGGACTTATGACTAATTAGGTATTTTTTATTAAAATCATGCTTATTGTTATATTATTTTAATGAATTTTGACCATGCCTGTATTATAAGGTGTAATTTTATTGAGTTGATACTTTTTATGTTCGTATTATTACAGCAGTTTAATAATATTGACTGTTCATGAAAGTATTAAAAATTTAGTTATTTATTTAGTTAAGATGTGTAAAAACTTATATTTAATAAAGTGTAAAATCGAATGTGTAAATTATTACTTATGGTCTGAATTAATAAAATAGAGTTATTTACTCATGTGTTTTATTTTAAAATTATTTTTTTTTACTATAAATAGTAAATACAGTAACACACTATAAAGCCTTTCAATTCTGGACAATAATGTTTTCCTAAATCTTTTAAAAAGTGGGTTACTTAAAGTTAGTAAAAAAATCATTTACAACTATCGAAGTCCTTTCAAAGAAGGCAAGGAAATGTAAAATCAAATCGACTTATTTGTTTGGAGAACTTTTTTATTTAATAGGTATTTATTAACTTTGCTAATACAATGTCTTCTTCACATTGCCTAAACCTGAAATATGGTGGACTTTTCGCGATGGCTATGCCTTGTATTTATTGAGGTATTTTGCTATTTATTTACATATCACAGAAATGTTCAAAATTAGGATTCGTGTTTTAGTAAGTGATTTGATCAAGACAATCAGTGCATTGTGGTATATTGATGACAAGTGGCTCTACTTTTTTTTAGGTCGGAATCATGATTTTTCTGGGATATTTTTTGAATTATATCATGCGGTATAACATGAGTGTGCACATTGTGGACATGGTTCAAGTTTCTAAAAGAGATAATTATTACTTAAATTACAACAGTTCAAATATTCAAAGGACATACTCTATGATTGGTGTTAGTAAGCAAAGTTATATTAATTCAAAATGTTCTTATTCACGGGGTTGTAAATTATCCATCTAGGTAGGTATACCTATTCATTATAGCATAATCTTTCTTATCGTTATTTCAGAGCATTATCGACATTATAAATTGGGATGACATGAAAATGGCAAAATTGTTTTCAGCCTATCATATAGGATATTGTATTTGCTTCCCCATTTTTCATAACATGGGAGACAGGTAAACATGACTTTTAGATCTAGATTGTGTGTGTGTGTGTACTTGTGTAGATTTATCAATGAACTGGGATTTCCAACAGAATATTTGTATCTATTGATAAATTTAATGTCAACCAATATCTAGTTACTAACACCTAACACTAAAATGCTGTCCTTGATACAACGAGACGAATGTTAGTGATAAAGTTGTTACTAAGTGTAATCCCTAATGCAGAAAAACCATTCTTATTTACATTCGGTTTTCAGGAAAGAATTTAGTACATAATTTATATTTAATTAATGCGAAATTAAACTCATCTTGCCGTTCCCAATTAACTGAAGTAACAATAAGAAGTAGAGTGAAGAGTAGATACCTACTTTGTTCTTTAAGATGTCTTGCAAGCAGAAAAAAGACGAACAAATTAAGATCATAAGCATCATAAGTCTATACAAATAAGGGATAAGCGTTCAGCAAGGTCTTATGCTTTCAGGCTAGGCCCAACGTGGGCAGTGGGCATCGCTGGGCTAACTTCTGGCGTCCTCAGCTGCCTCACTCCAGCGGCCGCATATTACCACTTCTGGGCCGTGTTCGCAGTTCGCATTATGTGTGGCTTTTGCGCTGTTAGTACTTCTTTTAAAAGGCCTTCGACGCAAAATTTTATACTTTAGGGGATTATTCTATTTTATTTTACCTGTTCTGTAAGTACCTGTCTGTGGCATCGTACCTCCTAAATGAGTGGACCGAATTTTTGAGAGATCATATTTTGAGTTGTTACAAACTATGTAGAGTCTTGTAGTAGATAATACTACAGTAAAACCTGGTTAAGCGAGATATGAAGGGAATAAAATTCACTCTCTGTCTCAGTAACAGAGGTAACTATGACGAAAACATCGAAATAACGAATCACAGTTAAAGAGGTTTGCTACGTCCGGGTCCCACTAACAGAGGTTATTCAGTGCCAAAGCGCCGAGACCTCATCATGAATTTCAGTTATCGAGGTTTCTTACTTATCCAGGTCCCACTTAATCCAGTTTCACTGTACATATGTATAAGTACCTATATGGATAAGGTACAACGAATGTAGTCAGGTAAAACTTTCTTTACCGTCACAACAAATACTCTTCTTATCTAACATTTTCAAACCAAAACGGCCGACTTTATAGTTCCGAGCGCGAGCTACTGGGACTAGGTTCTCTCTACGACAAGTTATGTTTACAAATTTATAGGGAGCTATGCAGCCTAGCATGGTGCAAGTACTAAGACATTGGGTGCCCCCTACAGAGAGAAATCACTTCATGTGGGCATATTGTGGTAAGCTCCCATAATATATTATATACCTAATGCATGTAGAGTAGATTGATGGACGTAGGAGGTTTTTATTAATTAACTCATCTAAAGAATCTATAGAGTGTAGGTAGAGTCTCAGATCACTGTACGGTAGTAAGTAATTATAGGCATCTGTACCTGTATTTCGAAATGTAGAGCATTGAATTGATAGAGCTTTAAGATCTTTTAGTCCCAAAGACTTCTAAGTCCCTGCTAGACAAGCTTTTAGCTAGTGATTCCATGTCATCATGTAAGGCTTTGCTTGCTTCTGTGAACGCTTTGGAATTAACTGTAACTGGAATAGGCAACATTATAAATTAGCTATGCCCCGGACGACGCGAAGAAAAAATATTTAATCTTTTCACGCTTCATACTCGTAGTATATTTTTCCCATTTTCGCAACATTTTCATTAATGCTCTGCTCTTATTATTCGAAGCGTAGGTAGTGCCTATAGCCTTCCTCGATAAATGGGCTATCCAACGCAAAAAGAGTTTTTCAAATTGCACCTAGGTAGTTCCTGAGGTTAACTTCTGCAAACAAAAAACAAACTCGAGCTTTCAATATTAGTATTAGAAGACCTTACCGAGCCCTGCTGACATATGAACATTTGAAAATGAACTTAACAAGGTCCCTTAACTCCCATAAAACAGCTGATTGCACCGCTCTCACCTCAAGCACGTTAAATGACATAACTGAGCTGTGCGTCACAGTTTATCGAACTGTGTGGGTATTTCCATCCCGTAGAAATCGACATTATTTATTAAAACATGCATCTTTCTAACTTCCCCGTAAACAAAATTAATTATATCTAATATGCGAATACCTTTGAAGAAAACATGCATATTTTTGTTTATTTCCACTCTGTGCATAAACATGAGTATCTACAAAAATTAAATGGGTCGTTACTATATTTATCTACACAAATTAAATAATTTCAATTGCATTTTAATTAAGTAACTTAATTCCGCGCATTATACAATTGCGAAAATTGTGATGATAATAGGCGTTAAACAATATAAAAGTACAAAACAAAAGAAAACAACTACAGAAGTGAATCTAACGCATTAAGATTCTAGACAATACGAGTCACATGAGAGTTAGGAATGTACTTGAGAAAAAAACAAACGATTCCTAATTTCTGCAGGTATAACAATCGGTACATGCTCAACTTTTCTTCTGTGCGCTGCTGTGCACTACTACTCACAGTGGCCAGTGGGGTTCTACGTGTCTGGTGGGGCACAGGTGCTGTGGGCGACGGTATGGGTGCTGACGGTGACCGACTACCCTCGCCATCACCTCTACATCTCCAAGGAAGAGCTGGACTATCTCGTGAACACTATCGGAAATGTCTTTACGATTAAGGTTGGTCAGTATAGAAAGATGAACTCTCTCGATCAGGGGAAACTGAGTTCAAAGGTACTAACTGTAAAAAATCTGTGTCTGAGAGCTTCTTTTGGATACCTATGTAACTTTTTTTTTTTGGAGTCTGATATTGTCTGAAACCGACGGATAAAGCCTTGAATGATGAAATAGTTTTTCTTTTAATCGGGAAAAAACGCCCGTTCAACTTAGTAATATACTTAAGTAGTCATAGAATTACCAATATTTGTGTTGAAGACGTAGCCGTTTCATATATGCCATAAGAATAAGTGATAATCATAACGTAATGTTATGGAATGGAAATCTAAATTATTAGTATGTAATTTCAAATCTGGTGGGTTACAAAACTGTAAATGCATATGTACGGGGAAAAACTTCAAACGAGATTCAAATGTATTTCCTCCTTTAAAACTCAAGTCCTTACCAATCAAAGAATGCATCATATGAACAAAGAATTATTTATTTATTTATTTAAGGATAGTACACAGCACAATATCAATATACTCAAGTACCTAACTTTTGTCCGTTATTCGTCCTCTATACGCCAACCCGTCATTGTTGTTTGTATAAAGATTTCATCCTTTTCAGTTAACAAACTCACAGGCCCCTTGGAAGCTAATATTGAAATCTGTCCCATTTTGGGCTTTATGCACATTGAATTTCGGCTATTCTTGGATGATCATATCACTGTGTCTCTATGGCCCGTATTACTATTCGAGAGTGGCGGAGTACAGTATTTACAGCGTAAGTTCATGACTTATGTATAAAATCTAATTGAGGTTTTTATAAATATTGATATTTATACATATACAGGTCGTAAGAACATCTGTTCAAATCTTTGAACAATGAAACACTTTTTTAATAACTGTACCCATGAGTATACTCATATACAAACTGTACCCATGAATATTTAACGACCTTTTTGATTACTCCCCAAAGTACAATAGGTAGGTACCAAGTCAAAAAAGTAGTTATTTTATAAAAAAATAACTGATACGTGTTACTTTGGTTCTCCTGCGGATCTCCTCATTTCTGATTCGATCACGCAGGGAAACTCCGAGCATAGCCCGCTCCATCGCCCTTTGGGTGACCTTGAGCCTTCTTATGAGGCCCATAGTAAGCGACCACGTCTCCACAAGCCAAAGTAACCGACATAGCTCGCAGAATTGCTAAAATCAAGTGGCAGTGGGCGGGGCACATAGCTCGTAGAGACGATGGCCGTTGGGGCAGGAAAGTTCTCGAGTGGCGACCACGGGCTGGAAGACGTAGCGTGGGCAGGCCTCCTACTAGGTGGACCGACGATCTGGTAAAGGTCGCGGGAAGAGCCTGGATGCGGGCAGCGCAGGACCGTTCATTGTGGAAAACCTTGGGGGAGGCCTTTGTCCAGCAGTGGACGTCATTTGGCTGAAACGAACTGATACGTGACAGTCATGTCATTAGGTATTCAAATTAAGTAACAACCAGTTTCTAACACCCTGTATTTACATTATACAGGCATCTGCTCTAACTGCGCTGCCATTTTTTCTGCGGCTCATACTGGGAATTATCGTCATACAAACATTCCATTGGTACAAACACAACACAAAGATTCGAAGAATTAAGCACATCAGAAAATACTTCATTGTTGTATGTAAGTTACCCCAACTAACATATTACGTACCTATAATACGTATTAGTAATAATAAGAATTATCCCTGGCCCTTGTCGCTAATGCGTTTAAATCTTTTACAAAGGGATAATAGATTCACTTAGTTTAGTTCTGCCACGGAAATAAGTCCTTACATTTTCTATTATATTTTTGTACACGTGTAACATTGAAATATTTTCTACGCTAAGTAACTATAATGCAAATTTTTATTTTTTTAACTGAAAAATAATCTAATTTAAATGTTGTTTTCAGCTCACGTGATCCCAGGCTTGATGGTGTCTATTTGCTGGTTGCTACCCATGGTTCCGGGCCCGATACTGCTGACCATAGCAGTCGCGCTCACCGCTGCTGGCATGGATCTTACATTAGATTTGTGTTATGTACGTATTATTGTTATGGTTGCAAAAAAGTCGACCAAAAAGAACAGTGAGGTCATTTAGTGCACCAAACACTTTTTTGGATATGTAATAAATTAAGCAGGTATATAAGTACCTTACAACCATGTGCATGGCAGAAATTCCGGTTTAATTAATTTAAATTCATTAAATCTATAACGTAGTGATAGTGACCAAATTACCTTCCAAGTTACATGTAATATTTTTTTTTGGTTTTATTCTGAACCAATAAAACGTAAGGTGCCTTTACTTTAAGTAGGTATTTATTTATTTCCAACTTTAAAGATGTCTACCAAACGAAGTGGCATAAGCTTAATTAATACATACTTAGTCATACTATGCTTGAATGTATTCATAGTGAGAAACAACAACTTTATCATTATTCTTGATTTTTAAATCATCTTAAAATACTAAGTAGTTTTTTGCCAGGTCTTTTGACCATAAGGTCATTTGATCAAGTGTATTTTTTATTGAGGCAACGTGATTTTAAAAGTTTTTATTGATGTTTTCTTATAAGCACTTATTATTTTTGTAAACCAACACGTGTTTTATAAGGGTGATGGTCCTCTTATAGAAATGTAGGCACAAACCTTTGTAATTTCATATGATATCGGTGGAATTCTACCTTTTTTGTTAGTACTTATTTTGTCGTTCAATACCAAAATTGGTTAAAATGAAATAAAGATTTTGCATTTTCGTTTATAATGTATCACGCCTCCTGCGTGTATAACGCGGAGGCTAAAGCTATGTAATTCTAAATAAACCTATGAGTTCCATTAAGCAAAGCAATATCATAATGATTTTTTTATTTCAGGAATTGACCCCTACGTATGTGAATTCTATCAATACAGTGATCAAAATAATAGGAAACACGTCAGGAATCATTTTATCTTTCTGTGTTGGGCAAGTTACACAGAAATATAAGGTTGTCGTCGGTATTTTACCTCTATTACGTAGAGTTTTAAGGAATCTCCTAAGTTACTTAGTTTATTGTTAAATTATTAGGTAATTTTCTTATTGCGTGTCTTGTAAACTATAAATTACTGTATTTGATTGAAAAAGAGCCTGACAAAGGAGTTTCTTCCGCCACTTCTTCTCAGCACCAGCCCATATGTTGTCCCGAAGTGGTGGTAGGGCATGCTATATTTGGGATGTGTATAAGTGCGCTGGAAAAGGCCTCATCATCAACTTAGGGACTACACATCAAACAGAGAATGGGCAGCAGCGCTCTCTGAAAAACATCAATCTTTTAAACTGCGATCTCCAACCCGCCTGCCAAGCGTGGAGATTATGGCAAAACCCTCCACTATAGTGGAGGAGGCTCATAGTCCAGCAGTGGACTGTAAAGGGCTGTTGATGGAAAAGGCCTATGTACTGAATAAAATATTTGAATTTGAATATAAAACAAAGCTTAATGACCCTTACTAATAATTTAGTTATTTCCGTTAGTCTTTTCGTGAGAAATTACTTCTGCCAAGCCAGATAAGAGATTTTATTTTCATAGTCGTAGCATTGGTTCGTAGAGTGTTTTCAATTGGTTCTCAAAGCTGAAGTCTAAAGATTTCAGTCGTTTTTACGACTTTTTTATTTCAGAACTCTCCGTTTGTATGGAAACAAATATGGTGTTTTCACGCTTCTGTGCTATTTCTAAGTGGATTCGTGTTTTTGATTTGGGGCGAAACTCACGTTCAAGAGTGGAACTCGAAAAGACATTTGTACGTTCACACTTAATTTTGATCATTTGATTAAATGGATATCTATCATTATTAATTCTTAATGCAGTTTATCGGGGCAAATGATATCGACCGATTAATTAAGGCTACACAAAACCTAAGTGATAGCTTACCTACATAGCTCTACTTACTTATGTAATGAACAAAATTGTAGAGACGAGACTTAAAGACTAACTTTTTTAAATGATTTTCTTTAAGTAAAATAGGTTTGTTCTATTTTATACAAGTCTATTAATTCTTTCAGACCCCGACGTCGTCATATTAAGCCAAACCCGTCTACAATGTCTAATATTTCTGAAGTGGAAGAAGAAGAATCATCGTAAGTTTGTTTGTTATAAACTATCTAGGTACCTTACCCCACACACACCTATGTAAACTTATTTATCAAGTAACAGTCTTTTTTCAGGAATCGAATTCCAGCACAATCTAAGAACTCATCTATCACCGGTTTTATGAGGACATCTGTGACTAAAATATAAGTAAAAGGTTAAGTAAGTACATAAAGTAAGCAATTAATCTCTGCAATGGCTAGCAATTTTGAGAATAGCTGTTTTTCTTACTGATGTTCTGCATTTAATTTGGTATGCATTGATTTTTATTAGTACCATACAAATTTTGTAAAGTGCACAGATCAGAGCGTACGTGTATAAGGTACTACTTAAGTGGCAAGCTTTTCAAGTCAATGGCAATAGCCCACTTTTCCTACTCATAAATGGCGGACTCAGTTTTTAATGCAAACTTCTCTCTACCCCTTTGGTAGGGAAGCAAAACCTCACAAATTATTAGCCCACTACTCGTAGGACATTATTCGCTTGTGGCGCCCAGCTGGTGATCGCGAGGGCTATCGTTTTAGCGCTTACCAGTTAGCGCCACTGTAGAGTAGTGTAGAGTAAGGTCCTGTCACTTGCTAGTAGCGAAGACAGTGGCGCCAACTTGTGAGCGCTAAAGTGGTAGGAGGACTATCGCATTTGCACTCATCAAGATGGCGCCACTGTAGAGTAAGGTCCTGTCAATCGCCAGGGGTGCCAACTGTTAAGTATAAAAACGATAGCCCTCATTTTAATTAGTTGATACGAGTAATAGTTGTGACTTGTTTATTAACACTACTAGGCTTTTAATTACATTACGTACTTGTACAGATTTCTAAGTCGAAAAGCAAATAAATTTTGAAGAAATAATTACCTTATATATATTTAGTACACATACGTAGGTATTTTTGGTAGCAAGAAAGGGTGAGTTGCTTTACTTTATAATAACACAAAAATTATTAAAACAGATGGGTAGGCTAAATAAGCTTGATCCGATGCCGTATAGTTACAAAACAAAAAAGAATGTCGGTTTTGTTACCATTCATTCATTCCCTTCACTCACTTTTCACTATTTCATTCAATTGCTGATGGTTTTCTGTCAAATCTGTCATCATTCTGTCAGTTGCGAATTAATTGAGAAAGATTTGAAAGAAAGAAAATAATTTACTCACTGATCATATCCGTGTTACAGTTACTCTCGTAATAATATCGTGTCAGAAAGTCAGCTTGGATGTGCAAATATGCTGCGAAGTGTCGTGGAATATTATTCCGAACATAGTGGATACAGCTGCGGTTACTGCAAAAGTCCTGATTCTAATTTTAGTCATGGTCAGTGGCTTATTCCTCAGTAATGAAGATACAAAAAAAGATAGTTCCTATCCATAATCCAGTACAATGTAGTCTTGATATCTTAATCATGGTTTCACAGTTATTTTTAGGGCTTTTTTAGACGTCTTTCAATGCTCTAATTTTGCTCAATCATTATGTTGAACTAAACCAGTATAAAATGTATGAATCATAAGTATTTTAAAGTACCAATACCGTTTTTCTCAGGTATGTGGGCTCATGCTATGTCTGTGACAGATTACCAAGATCTCATAGATAGGGGATGGAGAAGATCTGGCAAGTACTGCTACAAGCCTACCATGGAAGTCACTTGTTGCCCCATGTATACAATTAGGTGAGTGTTTATGTTTCTGACAAGAAAATAATCGAGTGTAAAATTGTATAAAACTGACAATTTTAGACACACCATGAACTGATTTGTCTTAGTATCTATATGCCTAATGGTGCCACCTTCCTCAGATATTAAAAACAAAATATGTTGTTTAATGGGTGGACTTTAATCTTTACTTATCTAAATACTTCATAGGGTTTTTATAGTAGCAGCAAGAGTATGTTCTTAGTACATTAATGTTGAACCATTTAATGTCTGTTTTAGTGATTTTAATTAAAGTTAATGTGTGATTCAAATGGCTTATCAGCATGACTAATTCTGCAGGTGCAGGGCATTGGAATTTAAACCTACTAAATCGCAAAAAAAGATTTTGAAACGATTCAATAAGTATCTGACGGGGCAGGACCTGCGACAAGCGGCTGACAGGGATCGTAAAATGTCTACGTGCAGTAGCGGAACTGATGAGGAGCAAATCACTGATGGCAGAGAACATTTTGTCGAGAGCACAAAGGCTTGCCAAGATATTGATGTGGATGCTGTGTTGAGCAGTGACATGATTGAAGAGCCTGCTATAATGAATGAAGATAATGTTAGCACTGTTGCCAGTTCTGGTAGGTAATTAACTGTGATCGACAAATTGATATGTCAATAATTGAAAAGTTTAAGTTCATATTAAAATCAACATAAATAAAACATTAATTACATTTTAGGTGAATCATCTCAAGCTAAAATACCAAATAGTACACCAAACTTACCAAAACCCACAGAAAAAATTAAAGAGATTGGAAAAGGTACGTAACATATCTGTTATCATAACATGGCTGTACATACTGGGTTGTATGTATCAGAACTGTACTTACAAAGAGTCAGTCTTTATTTTTTATTTCTTTCATGTTAACTTTAAATAAGCTTGGTTTTTACTGATTAATTTTCAGACTTGGGACCAGACCCCAATAAACCTCCTTGTAAAAAAGCTAAACAATTAAGGCTTCAGAGGAAGTTAGAAAAAATGAAAGAAAAGGGCATTGATGTGTCAAACCTGCCCAAGACCTGTAGAGACCAAGAAAAACAAGTTGAGGACTTTATCAACGAACTGCCCAGTGAAGTGAAACATAAGTTGGAGGTATGGTTAATAGTGACGACTCAGTTCTGGGAAAGTATAATATAATGGGACATTGATTGTATGTATAGGATAAATGTTACTTAATAATGAGTCATTATTTAGAGAGTAAAAAAGATTTGTTGTTGCACTAGTTAATCAGTACGTGGATAATTTTCCCTACTATAATTTATTTGTAAATCAATAAAGTACCTATTGTATTATTCTAGGAAAAATGAGGTAATAAATAATGACTAATTTTCAGATAAGGTTAGTGCGTACTTCACCAGCTAGCACTGAGTGGCTAGCAACATCGAAAGAGACTCATGAAGTGTATGTAAAGTATCAGACCGTTATACACGGTGATAAACCAGAGAAAGTCACCGAACCTAAATTTAAAGAGTTTCTCGTTCAAAGTCCACTACTGGTAAGATTTTATCGGAACTTTGTGATTCATAAATAAATCTTTTTTTTAATTAAAGATAAATCTGTTTAAAATTTTATAGATTGCATATTGTGCAAGCGTAAAGATAACTCTAAACACAGAAAATACTCAGACATACTTCATACATGTTCATTCACAAAAGATTGTTCGAGGTTGACTTGTGAACCCCGTTTTTCAAATAAGTCATTGCAATGCTTGTGTGTTTTAAATGCTTTTATTATTATGTTGTTTAGCTAAACTTATCGTATTAATATTTCAGGAGGAGCACAGTGATTCGGGGCCAGCCTGTGGTTACGGATCCTTCCACCAGCAGTACTGGTTGGACGGAAAACTCATAGCTGTTGGGGTAATCGATATTTTGCCCAGATGTGTTTCATCGGTGTACTTCTTTTACGATCCCCAATATATGAACTTAACCCTGGGTACTTATGGCGCTCTTAGGTGATTATTTGAATTAATAATACATTACTGCTTCGTTCTTTTGAGAGAGATATCTTTGGCGAGATAAAATTAGATTCACTGGAATTCATTCAAAAAAATAAATTATCCTAGCCAGTATCGAATCATGGTATTGTGAATCACGCATACTAAATAATGGGCGCAATTAATTAATAAATTTTAATTTGTCTAAATCAACTGTCACTTGTATATCATTAAATTCACTTAGATTATAAATAAATGTTTCAGGGAGATACAATTTACGCGAGAACTTCACAAGACGTGTCCAGAACTGAAGTATTACTACATGGGATACTACATCCATAGTTGTCGCAAGATGAGGTATAAGGGAAATTTCTCTCCATCGGATTTGCTTTGCCCAGAGACCTACAAATGGTTCCCAATAAAGGATTGCATTCCCAAATTAGAAGCGTCAAAATATGCTAGATTGGATCCTGATTTAGACAGCACAGATGATAACTATCCAGCTGAATCTGATCTCAATTATGTACCGGTTTGGACATCTGGTGCAGTTATGTTTTACAAGATATACAGACGGAGAAGTCTCAAGCGAAGTGATGACAGGGATGAAGTGATGGAATACGCAAGATTGGTCGGCACAAAGTCAGCTAAGAGCATAATTTTATTTAGATAATCTAATAAAACTTAGACTGCAACTTTAGCAGCACTATTTACTTACCTAATTCTTAGTTACTAATTCAATATGCTGGCTCGCTACAATACAGGGTGTTAGGTAAATGGGTATATGAGCTGACACTAGCCCATGTTAACATGGGCATATAAATGGTATGGTGAAGTTAGAAATTTGATATTGTCATTTTATTTTTTTTAATTTTCATACAAAATAATTTTTTTTAAATCCGATTTGTATGAAAATTAAAATAATTAAAATTAAGATATTAATTTTCTGACTTCACCATNGGTATGGTGAAGTTAGAAATTTGATATTGTCATTTTATTTTTTTTAATTTTCATACAAAATAATTTTTTTTAAATCCGATTTGTATGAAAATTAAAATAATTAAAATTAAGATATTAATTTTCTGACTTCACCATACCATTTATATGCCCATGTTAACATGGGCTAGTGTCGGCTCATATACCCATTTACCTAACACCCTGTATAGGTAAATGATTTATTAGTAAAAACGTTAAAGATACTTAATGTATTACTTACATCTTGAAGGAAAAAACTTAAGGTTTGTTCGTCGCGTTTCCATCCAATGTTTAATAACCAATTTAATTATTGACTAACTTATTATTGAGAATTTTTAAGTCTGGGTTGCACCATCTTCTTTTTCTTCTTCTTTTGTTTCCAAGTTTATTAACTATAACAAACGTCAAATACAAAAACACCGGTTATAGTTACGGTTAAAGTTAAGGTGCAACTTAGGCTAAATTTCTTGAAAAACAAAATGATAGTAAAACTATTAGAAAATCTACCCTCTTGTATTTTAGTTAAGTATAGGACGACCTTATGTTATTTTCCC